ATATATATATATATATATATATATATATATATATATATATATATATATATATATATAGTGATGGTGCAACGTAATAGGGGCCGGATATAACAACTGTGATTAATTGAAAATTCCATGAGGTTTAGTAGGGTTCACCCAATTTCCAAGGGTCACTTCTGCGTGAAGGAGTACAAATTTACATGCTCATATTAAGGAGACGATGTGGCGGGATTGTGGAAGGGGGTGGGGGACAAAAATTTGCCTGCTCTTTACAATATAAATCCTTTCGACAGCAGCAAGGATGCTTTTATTATAAAATGTGTGGAAGAATACAAATACATTAATTATACATGCATGATAAACTGAGAAACAGAACTAGGGCCCTTTGGCACCAATCATAGAAGTTTTACAAATTATTCTTTTTATTTTAGTTTAAATTCCTTTTAGATGGAGCTGTAGTTACAGTGATCTACTGTGAGTCACACTCTTCCATGGTCAGATCTCTGTAGGGGTTATTGTTTTTTAAATGTTCAACTAAATTCTTGAATTTAGTTTGGCTTAGTTTGTCCGTGTGGTACAAAAAAAGTAAGAGAGTACACAGGAGATACATTCTGACTCTCCTACTAACAAATTTGGCAGAGATCTCTGTCTTTTTAGTAGTTTAGTAAAACAAACTTGCATAACAGAAAACACAAAGCAAGGGTAATCATCGCTGCATTTGTGCTCTTCATACATTGATAAATGAACCCATTGTGAAGTGATTATCACAGTTATTCATAGCCGCTTTGCTAAGGGGATGGTACATTTGTTGCATTGCATGGGAGCAGACACTGCTTAGCCCTGCACATGTTTCCCTGTCAATGTGCATTACAGAACTGCCAGTGACATTTATAAATACTTGGTAATCTGCACGGCTATAAACACTGAGTTATTAGATTGTCATTATTTTGGCGGCAACTTGGCCCAGCCAATGATTAATTGAATACTATTAAGTTGAGGTAGCCTGTTTATAAATGCCGCTTTTACCTTATTTATAAGTCACTGACTGATTAAAATGTATAATTAAATGGCTGAGTTTTGCAAACATTAGGATTCTTTTAAATGATATATGACAATAATCATATTATCATATTATTACTTTATTTTTTCCACTGATGCTGTAGTAAAGCCTAGTTTAAGGAGTCTCTCAGTGTTAGATTGGACATAATAACATAATACAACGAATCCAAAAGAATTTGTCAGCCTGCTTTTCCCATCATTGTGAAAGACACTTGGGCTTTTAAATGAGCCTAATATAAACTGTGCTACACCTTCAGACCTATTGATAGTGGTAATAATGATAACTGAACTTTAGTGATCTCACATTGGAGAAATTTACCTCTGCATTTAACCTATCCCGTTGGGGAGCAGTGGCCTGCCATTGTGTGGTGCCCGGGGAGCAGTGTGGGGTAAAGGGTCTTGCTCAGGGACCCAGAGTGCAGGCTGTGGGGATCAAATCGGGAACCTGCAACCTTCTCAGAGCACAAGCGCACTGCTCTAACCATTAGGCCAAAACTCCAATAAGAACACAAAAGTAGTAGTTGAATAGCATTAGAGTTTGGATAGTTGCTTTTATTAAGTTGCACTGAACCCATAAAAAGGAAAAGTTAAAATAACAATATGACAATTAATTTTTTATCAACCAGAAAAGGAATCTTTTTTAAAAAGCTGTCTTTTTTAGGGGTTAGCCTGCAGTATTATTATAACCAAAAATTACCATGAAGAAGAAGTTGTATAAAAGTGGAGTTGTTGGTGTTTATTTTTGGACTCCAAAAATAGACACCAACAATATTGTTCTCCATCCAGTAAATAAGGTTTACATAAAAAGCCAGCCTGGGAGAATAAATATATTTTTTTTATGTTCAAGAAAAGTGAAACAGCTCTGCTTAAACATGAGTGTAAACTGTGGCAAGTGTTTGTACTCAATATCTCAACATTAAAATTTGAAAAATTTGCATGCAATAAATATTAGATTTTCTAAACTGGTACTTACAGTTTTATCCATATTCTAACAAAACACTATAGTCACTGCAGCATCAAACAGGAGCTCAAAGTACTACCACTTGGTTACCTGAACTAGCTAAAAGTTGGGATGAGACAGCTGTGGTAAACATTTCAGAGCAATCTTAATGTTTACCATCTAAAGCTTTTTCTGTATCTTGTTAACCAACCAACAGCTCCAAGACAGTAAAAAAAGTGAGTATCGAAATTTATACAGAGAAGCTACTTTTTGGTGCATCCAGTGTGCATTTGATTTAAATACTTGCTTCACCCTAAATGATTATCTCCATAGATGTATGAATGTGCTAGATATTTATTAGTAAAGCAGGGCATTCAAGAACCCAAAGTTTATCATAAACAGTAAATTCCACAGTGTTAAATATTTAATGTCAAATACATTGACTCTTTTAAAGTCATTACAAATGGAGTAACATATACACTATATAGAGAATTTAACACAAATTCATACCTGGACCAATGCACTCGGATTGGTGTTAAATTACACTCTTAAAGAGTAAATTTAACACTGCATAATTTAATGTGTATCTGAAAATATATGGATGTTGAGAGAAATAAGTTTGCCTGTTGATTCAGTTTGATCTGGGTAGATTGACTCGAAACTGTCATTCAGCAAAATTAGAAAAAACTTAAGCAGAGCTGAATGTAGCGTAAAATTTGTTCCAAGTAATGGTCTAACACTCTAAATGCTGGACAAAAAGGCAAGTAACAACACCTATTGTTCCCATATCTCTGTGACTAATATGTTAAAATGTGCACCTAATAGGCAGCAGAAACAGTTTAGAGAAACAAGTGAAGAGAATGTGATAAACAAAGTCCTGATAACAAAAATTATTGCTTAAGAAGCTATAAGTCTTAGGTTGTATAGCTTAAGTCAGTTTTTGAGCCTGTTCTGTATTTCTATTTAGTACAGTCACTGGTTATTAATACTGTAGCTTTTGTCATCCTCCTCCAACAGGTTAGAATTCTGCAAAGCCCTCAAGGTCTTTTAAACATCTCTATAAAGATAATGCATAACTTTGTTTCAATTCCCTTTTTCAGCACTCACAAGCTACATTACACTGGCACTTCTTGTAAATGGCATTTCCCATACCATCCTTACAGTTGATGCTTAGATTTTCTTTTTGTATTTCGCAAGTAGTATCCTTTGTCTAGCCCTGTAATGCTAAAACGAGTGCAATTCTGTTAGTGGACTGGTGTAGAAGCAGTTTGTCTGTGTTCAGTTTGAGTATCTATCTTTGCTTTGATACAACCTAGTCTTCGACCTCAACAAGAGGTAACATGGACTAGAGAGGAAGACCTGCTCATCACTAAAACCTGAAGAAAAGGGCACCTGGTAGCCTAAGCACCGCTTACTCATACCATCCCTTAGCTCCTGCCTTTTTTCATTCTAACCATCATCGATCCTCTAGCTTTGACAGAAGGTATGTATTTTAGGAGAGACCCCTGTTGATGTGATGGACATGAGGGCCCCATTTGAAATGGAAACCTAGGCATTCTGCCCTACCAGGGGAGATACAGAAATACCCCAGAATAGTTGGTGAAAGGAAATGGAACACGTAGAAAAAAAATGCTCTCTTTATTGAGGGTTTCCTTTCAAAAACACCAGCAAAATATAGCACGACACTTCCAATTCAGGATATGATGCTGTAAAATGCACCAACGTCAAAAGAGTACTCAATGGCCTCCATGGGCACTGATAGTTTCGTTTTACTCACATCATCGCTCACACTTGTATACACTGACAACACATGCTGACTCAGATAAGCGAGAAAATAAAAACATGATAAGAGAAATGAATGTACTTCAGGAGAAGAGATAAATCGAGCGACAGACAAGATTATCCTCCCTGTGTGCCCCGCTGCCTTGCATTTACCATTTCATCTTTTGTATTCATTCAAGTTTCAGCTTGAAAGAATACAAACTTCAAGAGAAAACTTTTTGTTATTGAACATGCACGTTGTCAGTGTATGTTCATAGCAGTGTCTATGATTGTACATGTACAACCCTGCTTTTTTAAGTTTGTGTATATATAGACGCTGTATATGCATGTAAATGTCGGAATGTAAAAGAAAAATAATGTGCTGCCCCTTATCCTCTTTATAACTCACCTTGACTGATAAAGAAATCCAAAGAACCGTTTCCTACGCCTGCTACTCATTCAAATAGCTGGCGTTTGTAAACAAGAGCTGCAGTTATCCATGTAGCGGTCAGATAAGAGGAGGAAGGAGACCTCCGGAGTGATGGATCACGAAGGGGCTCCCAGTTCTCCTCTCTTCCCAGCACCGTCCTGCCACCTTGGGATAATAAACAGCCACGGAGCAGGGGGCCAGATAAGAACCATCACTCACATTGTCCGAGCTGATAAGACACAGACGCTCTCTGTCACCCTCCATGACATTTGTTTTTCATTCCACTTCAGACTCAGGGAGAAGTCAACCTGTTTCATCTCATCAATGGGTTCGGCTCAGGATCCCCCGCTGAGTGGGTGCCACCCTTTGACACTGATGGTAGTCAGGTAACGGACCGTGTTTTTCCTGCAAGAAAACAACAACATGATATATTGTGTCCTGATTGTGTCTTCTTCCACAAATTAATTCTCTCATACTGAAAAAAAAAGAAAATAAACTCTTCAGCTCTGCTAAATTGTCTACAGATTTCAAAATATATTAGCTTCATATATTTCATGTGGCAACTATGAAGTAGGCTATTGGAATTTTATGCAGTAGAGCAACAGTAATGGATAATAGGGAAGCAGGACATAACAAGTTTATACAACTATTAATCTGAAAAGTGTGATGTACATGTGTATAGTCTCTTTTAAGTCAAAGTTAAACAACCATTTGTTTAGAACTGCTTTTGATTGTTAAAAGCCTCTTTCCCACTGAAATTAACAGTTTAACAAGGATTTTTTTAAACACAGGTTCGACCTGCTAACAATTTGCATTTGGCTCCCTTCCCATAAAAAAAGGCTGGGTCTGATCTCCCGCTGGCAAGCTGAAAGGTCTCTGTCCCCTTACTCCTGCGTCTCTGCTAATGGCATCACGCTGGGTTAGCGTTGATGATGTCATCAGTGAGACAGAAATCAGGAAAGTAAAAAATAAAGAGCAATATAGAAGGGAACCAGAGCATAGTCGGTGTGCTTTATTGTTTGTTTTTTTGTCCTTGTGAATCTCTCTCACTAGCGCTGCGTCATCTTTGCAATGTAAGCAGAGTTGTTTTGGCTTGTTAGATTAGATGCGACTGGTGCGACGTGTTGACATCCACACGTTCTGCTCAATGGTATCACATCAATTAGCGACTCAATCCTGGTCTGATGTTCCCAGTGTATGCCGATCGGGGCTGAGCAGTTTGAAGTAGATTATAACCCAAGTCGCTTCAAAGGGGTCGACAAAGGTCAGTGAACCATTCCCACTGCCACTAAAATCAGATTGTTCCGTGGTTTAAACAGGTTTTTAAGTCAATGTGAAAGGGGTAAAAGATAAACTTACCTGAGAATTCATCGGTTTAAGTTTTTTGTCCAACTGTTGCATTTGCTTTGCTACCTGTTTTGACCATATATTTACCTTCTCTTGTGTAATTCTGCTTTTATATTCCTTCTATTTAATTGTTTAATTCATGTAAAGCACTTTATATTGAATTTTTATCGAGAAAATAAACTTGCCTTGCCTTCGGTTTAAACCTTTGAAAAAATAAAAACAACTCCCTTCAATTTTTAGCTAAAATAATTTGAAAACCATGTAAAATTTTCTTGTCACTTCTTTTTTATTTGTAACTTTATGTTGGTTTATCACGTTAAATTTGGATCAGGTACACTGATAATTGTAATTTTAAAGCTACGAAATGTTCTAAATGTCGAGCTGGAAAAATCTTTGCAAGGCATGTAATTGATTAAATGTTAGTTTTAAGAATAGAAATATTCTACTGAAGGAGTATAGACAAAGAGTCTGATAAATCCTGACGTTATTTCTAAAGATGAGGACATTGTTCATCAAAATAAGAAAAAAAAAAAACGTTCACACCCAAACTTCTACAGCAGTGTTGTATTATCTTCATCATTTATATCTGAATAGCTATGCTTGAACTATTTTTACATGCCATGTGTCATTTTAATAGACCAACCTAGAGAGACTTCAAATTCAGAAACAACCAGGAAAAAAAAAAGAGGTGGGTCTCTATTCATCCCTCGCGTGCTTTAAAAGTAAAGGCACATATCAATGTGATTTGTGTGTGTGTGTGTGTGTGTGTGTGTGTGTGTGTGTGTGTGTGTGAATAAATGCAATGTTAAGGCAACAAGTTGTAAATTAATGCTTTAGAGACATATTTCTGACTAGCTGCATAGTTGCATTATTTGATTCATTTTACATTTTTGCACCTTTAACTCTCTAAAAACAGAGGGCTATCAGAGGGCATATGCAGCAATTGTAAATCTGCCTAGCCCAACTCTGCTTCTACCAGGGTCACCAGCAAGTCACAGATTTAAGAAAGTATAAAACGGTTACTTTATAGTCATCCCGATTGTTATACATAAGACTTATGTGCATTGTACTTGCGCTAATGAAGGTCATAAATTCTCAGTTTACGACTGGACCTAAACATTGAGGGGGGTTGTAAAGCACACGCTTTTTGTGTTACTTGTGTCGCTCATCAGATTTCTGCTGTTCAGACTGTGCACACGCTGTTTCTATTAGTCAGGAAGGGCTCCTAAGAGAGGCCTCCTGCATTAACAGCCAGTCTGTGAGAGGACAACATGTCGTCAGCTGGTCACAGTTGAGATTTAACAGACGTTGCCCAACTTCCTGAGCAATAGAAATTGCTTAATTCCTTATACTGGAGATGCACAAAATCTGATGTAGGTACCTGTGAGACAAAAGTCATCTGGAGGTTTCAACTCATATATTAAGTTTGAAAAAGTCAAATAAATTTGACTGTTATTTTTAATTCACTTTGAAAAAGCAAGTAAAAGAACTTTAAAATGAACTAAAATACACACTGAATTTATCAATCTGCATCAGTTAAAAATTATAAAATTTCAAATTTGAGGTAAGGTCCTTGTGTGTATTTGTGTTTTATTTTGTGAGCATTCCCTCATCATCTAATCTGAAATCCCCCAACGGAAAATGGAACATCCTTTCAAAAAGCTTTTTTTGTTTTAGGGTATGCAAAAAGATGTGTTGTGGATATTTGCTCTTTTTTGTGAAAAAAAAAAAAAAAAAAAAAACTTGTGAGGTTCTATGTGAATGTTCAAGATAAAATAATGCTCTCTGTTTGGTGAGGTGAAAATAAAATGCAATCCTCTAAAGATTTTGCTGTATCCTTGACTAGTGTTGGGCAAGTTACTTAAAAAAGTAAATAGTTGCTACTAGATATGTCTCCAAAAAAGTAAGTGAGTGAAGTAACTCATTACTAACCTAAATGTGCACTTACTTTTTATTATCTAAAGTGTCAAAAAATACGGAAAACTTTCCTGTTAATGGACTTTCAAATACAACTAGTCATTCAGTTATAAAATATAAGGTGTTTGCTATTGATTAATAAAATAAGTTATTAATTTAAAGGTCTACACATCTAAAAATATTGAAACTTAGTCTGCACTTTTTTTATGTGTGATTTGATAAGTGAGTTGTGATATGATTATATAGATCCGATCACGTTCGGATCTATACAATCACATCTATATAATCATATAAATAAGGTGTTTTAGCATTTATTTTTTTGCAGATTGATAGCCTTCAATTGGCTATAAACAATATGAACCTGTAAAGTATTGCTTTTAAAGCAATAAAAAAAAGAGATAAAATAAGTTGTATAATTTGCAATAGAATTAAACAGGAGTTACCCTATTCCAGTAAAATAATAAACTGTATCATTCCAGGATTCTTGATAGAGAAAACGTAAACCATGCCTCTTAAATCATTGCAGTGCTGAGAAAGTAAAGAACATGTGTTGGTTAAAGGGAGCTGCTGTCAGTCAATGCTGAGATGATCTACGGAGCTTCTTTAGATCACATTTTATAAATAATGTTTATAAAATCTTTGTCCCTGCACATAATGAGCGAATCACAGCGGTATTTTGCCTTCAGTGAGCGCTTTTTGCCTTTGGCATGCTGTCATTGTATCAGTGGCTCTGCCGCATCATCTCTACTATATAATATGTGCATACTGTAGCTGCACATCGCTGTAAAGTGCGCCAGTTGCGCTTACACATGTAGGTTGCTATCACTTGCACTTACACCAGGAAACTATATTCCTTATTTATACACGATAAGTAATGAATTAGGAATCTGCATAGTAATGAGTAGAACGTTACTCTCTGTTACAAACTAATTAGTTACAGTGCTAGTTACAGGAGAAGTAACACAGTTAATGCAACGATTTACAATGTGCAAGTCCCAACACTGTCCCAGAGTGTACTGTGGTGTTTCAACCAAAGTGCTGTGTTCTGCCATTGATGTTTGCATAACTTGGAATGTGGGCCAAAAAGTTCCATTTTGGGCTCATCATCTGAACAATGCATCTTCCTTTAAATGTTTTTGCTTCATCCCAAACATGACTTAAGGCTAACTGAAAACCTCTGTGGCTTTCTTTCAGCAATTGTTTTATTCTTGCCATTGATTCATGAATGTACAATTGTCCAGTACATGACGTAGCTCCTCCATAGTTAGAAGGGCCTCTTTGTTGCTTCTCTGATAACAATTTTTCACTGTTTACACACACTCTGAAAACATGCCTCATATTCAACTCTACACAATTAAGAAATAAACATACATAGTCTTCAAAACCCCTCAACCAAAATTTACTGTTAAAACAATATGAATCCGTCTCAGAAGGCTATTATGTTTACAAATCACTCACACAAACCAAATGACCAATCACTATTTAGTGCTTTCCTTCTTCATGTTTATGCCCTTTTTGCATTATGTTTTGATACACAAAAACTCAGAATAAACTAATCAGTTTATCTCATAAACTATATGACATTGTATTTCTCCCACAAACAAAACTTCATTCATACATTAAGTTGAACATATTGGTACACATAAAAAACTTAACTTTACTGTACATGTAGTAAGCAGTAAAAAAAAGTGTTTTTAAATTATAAAACTATTTCCTTATTTTATTGATTTAAATTATTAGAGGACAGCACAAACAGGCTCTAACCAGAGTAGAAAAAGAAGTTGGAGGCTGCGTTGCACAACTGAGCAAGAAGATAAGTACATTAGAGTCTCTAGTTTGAGAAACAGACGCCTCACAGGTCCCCAACTGGTCGTCATTAAATAGTACCCGCACTAGCCTGTTTGTGCTGTCCTCTGAAGGGAGTAGTACACACCGTTGTAGGAAATCTTAAATTTCTTAGCAATTTCTCACATGGAATAGCCTTCATTTCTAAGAACAAGAATAAACTGTCGAGTTTCAGATGAAAATTCTCTTTTTCTGACCATTTTAGCGTTTAATTGACCCCACAAATGTGATGTTCCAGAAACTCAATCTGATCAAAGGAAGGTTAGTTTTGTAGCTTCTGTAACAAGCA